ACACGGGTGCACTCACATACATGCAGGCAATATACTCATACACATAAAATAAAAATAATAAATAAAATATTAGAAAAAGGAGAACAGTAAAAATACTAAAAAAAATTCTTTTATGTGGGTTTCCACGTGGGCCCTGAGGCAAGGAACTTAATTCTTTGGCCAGTCTTCAGTTATATGGAACAAAGGGAGCTATAATAGAATCTATTAAAAGCAGTTAATCAGGACTGGTTAATCCAGATTCAGCAGTTAAGAGCGCTGACTACTCTTATAGAGCACCCAGGTTTGATTCTCAGTACTCACATGGTGGCTATGAACTGTTCTTAACTCCAGTTCTAGGGGAATCTAACACCCTTTTCTGACCTCCGCAGCATTGCACGACTTGGGTGCACTCACATACATACATGCAATACACTCATACACATGAAAAATAAAAATAATGAAAAAAACCCCAGTTAATCAGGCTGGGTGTGGTGGCTCACACTTTTAATCCCAGCACTCGGAAAGCAGAGGCAGGAGGCTCTCTATGAGTTTCAGGCCAGCCTGGTCTACATTGTGAGACCCTGTCTCAATAAAATAAAAAATAGCTAATCAGGGCTGCGAATGTAGTTGAGTTGAATGCTTACCTGGCATGCAGGAAGCCCTGGAGTCAATGTTCAGCACCTCATAAACCAGGTGTCGGGGTATACACCAGTAATCGTAGCATGTAGGAGTTAAAGGCAGGATGATCAGTTCAAGATCATCCTTGGCTATATAGTGAGTTTGAGGCCTGCCTGGGATACATGAAAACCCTGTCTCAAAAAAAAAAAAAAAAAAAAAAAAAGAAAAAAAGTTATTATAAAAGGAGGCAAAACTTTTTCTACAGTATTTCAATGATTTTATTTCTTTAGTGGGTTTACCTTTTTTGTATTGCCGAAGCTCAAATGTGGAGATGGGTTTGTAAGTGTATCTGTTGGTTACCTGCTAGCTGCAATATTGGATCAGCAAGTTGACCTGGGTATGGCCCATTAACTTGGGAGCTGATTGTCCATGTGATTGGCAGATGCCTTCCTGCCCAGTGACCTTACTCTGGCTTATCCGTGTCTGGGTTTACGATTTTAGCACAAAGAAGGTGTTAAATAATGTCTTCATTATACAAATAACTTGCTTCCATTACCTCAAATATAATTTGAGGGTTTGTGTTTAAACTTTGGATGAGAAATTAATTTTGAAAATTGAAAGTGTTCATTTTGAGTCTAGAAGATGAGTGTTTCCTTCCCCCCAACATTCTTCAGGTCTTTTCAGTGAAGACCACTGTGCCATAAATGTATTGTTCCATTGGTGCTTCAAGAATCACAAAGAAACCTCCTTGTCATTTTAGTGGACGTTAGCTGTAACAGTTCTAGTAGAGACCACTAAGTTATCCAGAGTTTATATCGAGAGTAAAAACATCCTGCTGATCTCAAGACCCCTGTCTGGTAGGTATTTCAAGCTGACAGAAATTCATCTGACTGGGGCTGGAGAGATGACTCAGTGGTTAAGAGTACTGACTGCTCTTGCAGAGGACCCAAGTTCAATTCCTAGCACCCACATGGTGGCTAACAACTGTCTGTAATGGCAGTTCCAGGGGATCTGACGCCCTCTTCTGACCTCCACTGGCATTGCACGATAAGGGTGCATCTACCTACATGCAGGCAATGCACTCATACACATAAAATAAAAATAATAAAAATTTTAAAAATATTTTATTTATTATTTTTATCTTATGTGTATGAGTGCATTGCCTGCATGTATGTGAGTGCACCCATGTCTTACAATGCTGCAGAGGTCAGAAGAGGGCGCCGGATTCCCCTGGAACTGGAGTTAAGGACAGTTCGTAACTGCCATGTGGTGCTGGGAATAGAACCTGGGTCCTCTGCAAGAGCAGTCAGTGCTCTTAACTGCTGAGCCATCTCTCCAGCCCCATAAAATATTTTTTTAAAAAAGAAATTCACCTCAGTGAGATGCCATTTAGTGGCCCTTGTTGAACCTCAGAGGAAAGAGAACCTGGAAGCCATAGATCTGTTTCAGACATGTTGTATGATCAGGGAACAGAGAGTAAGTGATTCATAAGTCACCCTGGCTCCTTGACCCTCTTAAGTCATTGAGGCAGGGATTTTGTGTCTAATTTGACTGTTTTGGCTTATTTCTATAAAACTTATGCAACTTTGTCATTCCTGATTTACTCCATGACAAACTCTGAGACTTGGGTTTTAATTGGTCCTTTCAGCCAACTTCTGAATATTCACACTCACCATATTTTTAAGCAAAGATGGACCTGCACCAGTCTTGGCTTCTTATATGTACTCTTGTTGCCCACTGGTTGCACAGCTTCATTCTTTTATCTCTCACACTTCCTTGGTTTTCTGCATGAACAGGTATATTCCATAGAAGTTCATGGGTGAATTACTGATTGTCTTTTCCTTTTGGTCCACCCAGAATCGAGTTTAGTTGAATGACGTGTCCTATAATTTTTTTTTCCAGGAAGCTGGATGACAATATCCGAACTGTTGTAAGAGGTCAGACAAATGTGGGGCAGGATGGGAGACAAGTAAGTAACTATTCTTCCTTATTAATTATAATCCTCTTAATTTCTTGAAGAACAAATAAACCAAGCGACGACAACAAACAAAATATGCTGCTGGTTGTGGTGACCCATGTATTTAATTTCAGCACTTGGGAGGCAGAGGTAGGCAGATCTCCATGACTTGAGATTAGCCTGGTCTTCATAGCAAGTCCCAGGCTAGGGCTACATAATTCGACCCTGTCTCCAAAACAACAGCAACAAGCAAAACAAAAACAAACAAGCAAGCAAAAAACAAAAACCAAAAAAACCAAGTGACCAAATTGTTGCTTTGTCTGTTTGCACTTTCTTATTGGTCTGTTCCACATACATGAATGACTTGTCCTCCCATGGCAGGGGTATTGCCCCCAGACGAGCCATGAACTCTCACTTGGTGTCAACCAGACCAGGATCATATGTCAATGCACAGCTCATCTAGGGCCAGTGACCTGCAAGCTACATTGGACAATGTGAAGTATCCTTATTTCAAAAATGTTTTATGGGGCCGGAGAGATGGCTCAGCAGTTAAGAACACTGACTGTTCTTGCAGAAGACCTGGGTTCGAATTCCAGCACCCACATGACAGCTAACAGCTATCGGCACTTCCAGTTCCACAGGAATCCAACGCCTTCTTCTGACATTGTATGACATGAGTGCACTTACCTACATGCAGGCAAAAAAAGAAAAAAAAGTTTTCTGTACCATGTCTAACTAAAGTTCCTATTTTTGTCTATCAGCTAAGTTGCTTGGGGTTTGCTCTTAGCTTGATTGCTGTAAGAAGTATTGATATGGGGCTGAGGAGATGGCTTAGTGGTTAAGAGCCCTTGCTTCTCTTGTAGAAGACCAGGATTTGATTTCCAGCATCCACATAGTGACTTAAAACTGCATATAACTCTAGTTCCATAGGATGTGATGCCCTCCTCTGGCCTTCACGGGCACTGGGCATGCATGTGGTACCCATGCACATATGTAGGCACTTGCATACACATAAGATTTTAAAATCTTTAAAAAACAACAAAAAAAGAAATATTTGTATGAAGCAGCTATAGTTTCTTGTGCCTGTCTTGCCAGCTAGCAGGTAATTGGATTCATTTTGTTATTTTTTATATTTTGAGGCAGGGTCTCATTCTGTAATCCTGGCTGAACAGAAACTCACTATGTAGACCAAGCTGTCTTCAAGCTCATAGAGATTCACCTGCCTCTGCCTCCAGAGTGCTAGGATTAAAGGCATTGTTCTTTAATATGTGTATGTGTGTGTGTGTGTGTGTGTGTGTGTGTGTGTGTAGAGAGAGCGAGAGAGAATTTCATACATGAATATTGTATTTACATTAGTTCCATCCCTCCTAGTCAGCCTCTGATTCTTCCCATGTCTCCCTGACTCCCTCCCAATTATAAGTAATTGATTATTACTGTTATGTATAAATACACACATTTATAAATATGTATGTATATATGTATTTATATAAAATGCACTGAGTCCATTCTGTGGTGCTTATGTGTACCTATGTTTAGGGCTGCCCATTTGGGCTTAGATAACCTCTCAGGGAGCTAGTCCTTGGAGAAAACTGATTTTTCCCTCCGTCAACATCCATTGATTCCTGTAGCTCTTCATCTTGAGGTGGGACCCTGTGAAATTTTCCCCATCTACATTGACATGTTAACTGGTTTTGTCATTATGCAAATCTTATTAGACTACCATACTATGGAGATTTCATGGGTGCTTCCCTATCATGCCTCTAAATGCGGTAGGTGTCTTGTCACTCTGGCTCTTACATTCTTTCTGCCCGCCTCTTCCATGATGTTTTCTGAGCCTTAGATATAAAGGTTGCATTGTAGATGTGCCACTTAGGGCTGGGCACTTCATAATCACTTAGTATCTGCATTTGACTGTTGTGGAACTCTGTAATAGTCTCTGTGGCAAAAAGAAGCTTCTTTGATGAGTGATGGGATGTACACTTGTCTGTAATATAGTATTTAGAATATAGTAAGAAATTATTTTGTTCTAGGGAAGTGACAGAAGTAGATCCTTCTCTAGGGTCTGTGACCTCTCCAGCCATGTGTACTTGGCTATGTTTTCAGTACCACACATGAATTTCCTCCCATTGAGTGAGCCTTAAGTCCAATTAGTCAGCTGATGATTACCCCCAAGAAAAAAGTGCCACCATTGCACCAATATAGATAATTTTCTGGACCAGTAATTTTTGTGGTTTGTAGGCTTTGCAGCTGTGTAGGATCCTTGATTGTTTTCCTCCCTTGGCAGCTTGCATAGTATCTTTTGATACTATCTATGAGAGCTAGTCTTTGTGGAGGAGGCTTCCAGGTCAGTTCCAGGTCAATTTCTCCAAGTCCTGTGTCTGAAGTATGTCTTGTCTTCAGCAATAGGGCCTTACCTTCAGTTCTAGGAGGCAATCAAGGGCTGTGGTAGTACCCTGTATTATTTTGGGAGTCTCTGATCAACAACTTGAAGGGAGGTTTCCCATGCCTGGCACTGTGATTTTTGTTATGTAGCCTTCATCTGTACACATGTACTCACATGTATATTGTATGTGTTGGTGTATTTTTTGATCTAGCCTCAGAGGGCTATTGAGAGGGGCTTGAAGGGATAAAAAAAAAAGCATGTGAAGAGGAGTTATTCTTCAGTGACTGAAGGGCCGGATGTTGTCTGTTAGCCATTTTCTTTTTTATTTGGATTCTTTTCTTCTGTTTAGGCCTCTATTTCAGAAATTGCTGTCCTACCAGTGATGCTGAGCATCCCTTTCTAGCCTTTCCACAGTGTCTGCTCCTCCCTAGTTCTGTTAGGTCAGGAGTGGACTGTTTAGTGCCTTCAATCCAATTATTTGTCCTCTGACTTTTTATGGTGCTGGGGATCAAACCCAGACAGGCATTCCACCACTGAGCCACATCCTCAGCCCTTGCTTTTTTAAAAAAATATTTATTGTTTTGATTTTATATGTATGAGTGTATTGCCTGCATGTGGGTAAGTGCACCCATGTCATTACAGTGTCAGAAGAAGGTGTTGGATTCCTGTGGAACTGGAATTACCAATGGTTGTTAGCTACCCTGCGTGTGCTGGGAATTGAACCTGGGTCCTCTGTAAGAGCAGCCAGTGCCCTTAACTGCTGAGCCATTGCTCTAGCCCCAGCCCTTGGTTTTAGAGACAGTTTTTTTTTTTTTTTTTTTTTTTCACTGTGCAGCCCAGGCTGGCCTCAAACTCCCAATCCTGCTTCAGCTTCCTGAATGTTGGGATTACAGGTATAGCCTACTATGCCCAGTTCTCTGTGGCAGTTTTTAGTAAAGCTAATTTCTGAAAATGCTCATTTTGCTGATTTAGGGTGTAAGAAAGGGTCTAATTCTATATGTAGAAATTTCCTCATATCCCGTATCCCTGTTTCTGTTGTTAATGGCTCACAGGTGTCTTGATTTTCTTTCCCATTTTTCTTTTTTTTTTTTCTGTTGTTGCTTTTTAAAAATTAATTAATTAATTAATTGATTAATTAATTAATTTACTTTGGTCTTTTTGAGACAAGGCCTCTCTGTAGCCCCAGCTGTCCTGAACTCACTATGTAGACCAGGCTGGCCTTGAACTCATAGAGATCTGCCTGCCTCTGCCTCCTGAGTGGTGGGATTAAAGTGCATGGGATTAAAGGCATGTGCCACCATGGCTGGCTTTATTTGTATTTTTATTGTGTGTCTGTGTACATGTTTTTCTGTATGTGTTCACATATGTACAGGTGAATGTGGTAGCCAGATATTGAGATCAGGTGTCTTCCTCAATTACTTTCTACCTTATATTTTGAGACAGGATCTCTTTTGAACCTTGAGCTTGCTGATTTGACTAAACTGGTTGTCTAGCAAGCCCCAAGGATCATTTCCCAATGCTAGGACTACAAGCATGTACTGCTTGCTATATCTTGCTTTATGTGGATGCTGGGGATTGAACTCATGTCAAGCTTGAGAACCACGTATCTTACCTATTGAGCCATCTCCCCAGATCCATTTTTTTATTAAAAATATTTTATTATTAATATGTATGAGTGCATTGTCTGCATGTGTGTAAATGCACCCATGTCATGCAGTGCCTACAGAGATCAGAAGAGGGTGTCAGATCCCCTGGAACTGGAGTTATGTTTTTTTTAGGCTCCTTGTGGATGCTGGGAATTGAACCTGGGTCTTCCGCAAGAGCAGCCAGTACTCTTCACTGCTGAGACATCTCTCTACCCATCCCCCCACTCACTTTTAATTTTATGCATCGCTACTTTTCCTATATTTCATGACTTTCTTTTCACTCTTAATATACCCCTTCTATTATCTATTAGTAAGTAGCCTATTTTCTTTCTTTTTATCACCATCAGTGTTTGTTGACATAATAGCTTCCTAAGACAGACCCTGTTTCCTAGACCCTTGCACGGTCTTCGTGTTGACTGCTTTGTTCTTGTCTACTAAGATCTCATGTAAACAGGAACCTTAGAGGTAATAAAGAGGAATAGGATACCCTCATTCTGCTGATCAGCTTTCCTTTTTTTATGTCTAATCATGTCATCTCCCTCTTCAGAATCCCCAGGACCTTCCAACCCTTTTTCTCTTTGCTGTGACAAGAAGCAATTTAAGGAAGGAAAGATTTATTCTGGCTTTCAGTTGGAGGGGCTCCATTTCTTCCTGACAGGAAAGAAATGACAGCAGAAACAGGAGGCAGCTGGTCACTTTGAGTCCACAGTCAGGACACAGAGCAAGAACTGCTAGTGTTAGTTCATTTTCTCCTTTTCATTCAGTCCAGGCCTCCAGTCCATGAACTGGTACTGCCCACATTTAGGGTGGGTCTTCCCACCAGAGTTAACCTGATCTAGATAATCCCTCACAGACAAGCTTGTCTTTTCAGTGATTCTAGATCCCATCAAGTTGGCAATCAGTATTATCAGTGTTCGAAATATTTGTTTTGCTTTCCAGCTTTTACAGTTCAAAGTCTTACATAGTTAAATAGGGTCAGCTCA